ATGGCATCACGCTCACAGCAACCTCCAACTCCTGGGCTCAAGCGAGTCTCCTGCCTCAGCCTCCCAAGTAGCTGGGACCACAGGCGCTCGCCACAATGTGTGGCCATTTTTTGGTTGCAGCCATCGTTGTTTGGCGGACCCGGGCTGGGGATTCGAACCCGCCACCTTAGGTGTATGTGGCTAGCGCCTTAGCCGCTTGAGCCACAGGTGTTGAGCCGAAAAGCAGATTTTTCAAAAGCCTTGGTTCTGAGTGGAGTAGGTGAGCTTTAGCAAGATTATCTGCTACCTTAGCATAGGACTATCTAGCACCTTATATCATTTTGAGATCATTTGTTCTTCCCCAAATTTAGTAGGGGTGGGAAAGGTGGGAAGATTTACCGTTTCATAGATAGAATCCTAGCCACAGGAGCAGTGGTGGTTTATGTAAGGCTGTGTAGCTAATTCATGGAGTTTGAGACCAGTCTGAGCAACAGTGAGACCTGATCTCTACTAAAAATAGAAAAAAACCTAGCCAGGCACTGTGGTGGGTATGTATAGTTCCAGCTACTTGAGAGGCTGAGGCAGGAGGATCACTTAAGCCAAAAAATTTGAGGTTGCTATGATCTATGATGATGCATTGGCACTCACGCCAGGGCATAGAGCACAAGTCTCAAAAAAAAAACTAAAAAAAAAAAAAACTAAAACCACTGTATTTCTGATTAATTTGAAACTCTTTTATTCTCTCACAGCCTTTTTTTGAGGCAGGTCTTAGTCTTCCTCGCTAGAGTACAGTGGTGTCATGATAGTTCACTGTAACCTCAAACTCTGGGGCTCAAGCGACCTTCCTGCCTCTACTTCCCAAGTAGCTGGGCTATGTCCAGTTAACTTTTAAATTTTTTGTAGTATATTGCCCAGGCTGGTTGTAAACTGGCCAAAAGTGAACCTTCTGCCTCAGCCTCCCAAAATGTTAAGATTACAGGTGTGAGCCACGGGGCCCCGCCCACAGTCTTTGTTTGTTTCTTATTTAGTGGATGTTGGTGGCATGTTTAATTTTTGGTTATCTTCTGCTCTTTATATTGCCCATTTCCTGGAGGTTATTTTTACTTTAGTGTTTTATGTTGATGTTCCCTCTGATTCTTGGCTATCTAAGAGCAGGGCACTAAAAGCAGCTTTTCTTAACTGTTGGCTTTCACTATAGGTTACTCAGCTCGTGTTTTCACTGGAGATCCCTAGATTTCAGTACCTGTATGTCTTTTCTCTGGGTTGGTTTGGGATGTGGAATGTGAACATGGAGAGCGGCTGGGAAGAGGTTTCGGATGTTCAGTGGTTGGATTTGTCCCCATTTTCGGTCTGGTCCTCCTCTCTTTCAAGTGCCTGGGGGCTGGAATTGTCAGCTTCTGAGATTGTTTCTCCAGGATGTAGCTTCTAGTCTTACAACTCTAAGCACTTCTTATATGAACTTCCAATTCTTGTGTTTCACTGGTACATTGGGCCTCCAGTTCCTCTTCTTTACAGTGTCTTTGTTTTTTAAATGTAATTTGAAGGGGGTGGGATACATATAATCTTGTTCTCTGTGATGATATTCTCTGGCTAAATCATTTATTATTATTCCATCATCTGCCCTTTCAGAAATTGTACATTGAAATGACAGATTTCTGTTGGTTTCATAAAGATAGAATGTGTGCTTTTATTATATTTCTTGATTTTTTTTTTGTGGCATACTTTAAAGAAACCATCTATACAGTACATCATTCCTACAGAAAGTGCATGGAAGCATACAGCTCAGTATGAACATGTTTGTCACCATCACCCAAACCAAGAAACAGAAGGTTACTAAGACAATACCACATTCCTCACATTCCCTCCTAGTCCCTCTCCCTGGGCCAAAAGTAAACATGGTCTTGACATTTGTCACCGTTAGTTGTTAATATCCATGGTCAACATAATTTAGATGAACTATCATCCATTACTCGTAGGTGCAGCTTCTTTAGTTGATTATTTATGGTTATGGCTCATCCATGTTGTTGCCAGTGGTTCATTTTTCTTCCTGTACAGTAGTCAGTTGTATGTCAATAATTTGTCCATTTTTCCGTTTACGGACCTTCAACTTGTTTCCAGTTTTGGCAATGACTGTTAGTGATAGGAACATTCTTATATCCTTCTTCTGGAGAATGTGTGTATGTATTTCTGATGGACTTATACCTAGCAGTGGAATTTCTGGGCTATGGAGTATGTGAAGTAGGTAGTGCCAGATGGTTTTGGAAAATAGTTGTAGGTTAGATTTCACACACAGTCTACAAAAGTTTTGATCATTCCAAGTCCTCCCCAGCCATAGTATTGTCTTTGTGACTTTTTTGGTGGTATAGTATATTTCAAAATATTTCTCTGCTGACTAATGAGGATTATTGAATGGTATACCTTTTTTTTTTTTTTTTTTTAAATGAAGAGACAGGGTCTTACTCTGTTGCTTAGGCTGGAGCACAATGGCACAATCATAGCTTGCTGTAACCTTGAACTCTTGGGCTCAAGCAGTCCTCTTGTCTCAGTCTCCTGAGTAGCTGGAACTATGACCTATCATGACCATGCCCAGCTAATTGTAAATTTCTTGTAGAGATTAAGTCTTACTGTGTTGCCCAGGCTGGTCTTAAATTCCTGGCCTTTAGTGATTCTCCTCCGTTCACCTCTCCAAATGCTGAGATTACAAGTGTCAGCCACTGTACTTAGTTTTCAGTGGCATATTTTTAAAAAGTACTTATTTTTCAAGAGGCAACCTATGAAGGTGGTCCCAGCACAGGGGAATCCTTGCTGTGCTGAGCCAGGCAAAGAGTTTAGGCATCCCATAAACCAGCTTCTCAAGTCTAAACAGAGGTCTTCTTTGCTGTGAGCGGTTGTCTGTTCCTCATCCGAGAGGGTCCTTGCTCTTCCTATAATAAAGAAATACCTAGGACACTTTTGCTACAGTTAGCATTTATTAAGTACAAGAAAGGTGGAGTTGAGTGAATGAGAATGAAGTGGGTCTAGATGAGAATTCCCATGGAACACTAGGAGGGAATGAGCAAACCCACAGAACTCATTTGGATTCTCTGGAGTATAGAGAACAGAGACTCCCTGGGAAAGGGAGGCAGCTGCGCAAGAAGAGGGCTGAGCACTAATCATGGACGGTGGGATGAGGCAAGTCCTTACCTCTCTCCTGCATTTCCTTTCCGCACACAGTAGGTCTAAATCCACTGACCGCTCCCAAAGGAAGATACATGTTTTGTTTTTGTAGTTTTTGGCTGGGGCTGGGTTTGAACCCGCCACCTCTGGCATATGGGGCCAGCACCCTGCTCCTTTGAGCTACAGGCGCCACCCCTAAAGGAAGATATTTGGTGTAAGAATGGCCCAGACCCTTCCAGTGCAGCAGTTCACTCAAGAATCCCCATACCAGGCACAAGAGCCAAACATGCAGGGTTAGGTTTGACTTTGACCTTGGATTTCCATCACTTTGATCATAATTTCTATATGAAAAGCACAGACTCAAGGAGTTGGATAGGGGGAATGGATAGTTTGTAAGCATAATGGAATAAGACTCATATCAAGGGCAGAGACCACAGTAATTACAAACACTTTAATTTCTGGCCACTTGGCGGCACTTAAGTATCAGAGCCATCCAAGCATGTCAGCCTTTGACCTTGCTCAGCAAGAGTAGATGATCACACAACTCTTAAGGTAAATCAAAATTAGATGAAGGTTATTTATTGGTGTGACTTTTTTCCTGTAGTGAGCTTCCTTTACACAACATGGTGTAAATAGCATCAGATTGAATGAAAAGTTTGTTAAATGCAACCATAAATAATTATAATAAATATACATCAAGTAACTTTACAGCACAC